TACCTACAAATGTAGATGCATCCACGATAGAGAGTTGTGCATCTCTCGTTCTACTCATAAGGATACTGAGCATCATTGTGGTACGAGCACGTAGGGTGTGAGTGCAGAAAACAAACTGAGGGACATTGGGAAAGAAGGAGGCTGATTGAGCCACACCATGAGGGCCTACTCCTTCCCTTCGCGCTCCTTGGAGATTTCCATCTCCCTCCGTCTCACTTGCGTGCTCTCTCCATCTAACTTGTGCGCTCTCGCTCTCCGTCATGTGGGTCATTTCCTCATGCTGGTTTTGACGTGTGTCTCCCTTTCACTCCTTGTTCTGGCATGAGAGAGGAAAGCTCGCTCCTATCCCCCTGCCTTGTTACCTGCATATGGGACAATACCAGTGGGGCAATAAGCTGGACTGCCGATCGTGCATTGTTTATTTCTTCCATTGTTTTGTTTCCTTTGATGTTAAACCACCAGTACCTCCGATCCTGTTTTTTCCAAACCTGAATTTCACTGCACGCTGAGTTTCGCCGAGGCTGGGTCCCGCTGTATTTTGTTTTCTGGTACACCTACGGGGAAAAAAACGAGCTCGGCAGTTGCCAAATTCCCATTTTCCCCAACTCTGAGAAAGGTAGTGCCGGTGTAAGGCCAGCTCTGTGGACTCTTTTCAACAGTTGGATTCATTTGACCTGCTGCTGGCTCAGAATTGCTGAGGTTTGGGAGGTGGTCGAAGAGGGCCGGGTGATTGTTTGCTGCTTCTGTTTAATAAATGGCAGAGTTATGAGGGTGGCTGGTTCAGAATTGCTGAGGTTTGGGCTCTTTTCAACGTTCGGATTCGTTCGACCCGCTGCGGGTTCGGAATTGCTGAGGTTTGGGAGGCAAGGCTCAGAGTTGTGGTGGTCGAAGAGTGCCGGGTGATTGTTTGCTGCTCCTGATTAATAAATGGCAGAGTTATGAGGTGGCTGGTTCAGAATTGCTGTGGTTTGGGAGGCAAGACTCATAGTTGTGAAGGTTGAAGAGTGCCGGGTGATTGCTTGCTGCTTCTGTTTAATCAATGGCAGAGTTGTGAGGTGGTTACAATGGATATTTGGCTAAAGCCTGTAGTGCCCAGGACAGTTGGATGTGTGATGATCTTTCTTATGGTGTTAATGTATCAGCCCTTTAAGGGCAAGGACTTACCACCAGTACCTTTCTCAGCTATCGTTGCCGAGCCTAAAATGGACCTGCACGCCAAAAAATAAAGAACCGGCGTGTCACTCGTTTTGGCTGGCGCCACCAGCCATTTTGCACAGGTACTTCCGAACCCCCCCTCCTCCCGTGTTAACTGGCGGGCATTTGTTTTTCGAGTGGGGAAAGGTACTGGTGGTTTAAGAGTAGTTGCTCAGCACGCAAATTCCAGAGCGGTCAGGGTGAGTTGTGAACCGGGGTTCTGTTATGGGACTGCAGGGCCAGGGACTGAGGGGCTACCATGTAACTCTTGCTTTTGGCTCACTCAGTTCTCCTGTTAGCTTTCACCGTGTTTGCTCTTTGTTGCACTTCCACAATTACTCCAGACCGAAACATTTTGGCTGGAAGATCTCATTGTTCTGGAGGACCAGATGAAATATATGTCTAACTGCAGGAGGTGGTCATTCCTTTGGTTGGTGTTGGGGATGCCAGTATGGCGGCGATAGCAGAGGGGAGACTGTCAGGGCAGTGGAGTGGAGGTTGGAATGGTTTCAGGGCCTTGGGATGCCAAGGAGGTGGATTTATTGATGACGGTGAGGCTGCGATTGTTTCTGTCTATGGTGACTGATACTGTTGCAGCAACATCCAGAATAGCATATGGAGATGAGGTGGACAAGGCTGATGTTCAGAATGGGGATGGCTAGTCTGGTGGTTTTGTAACCCCTCAGTCATGCAAACAGGGATTTAGCAGCAGCATCTATCACGCTCGTCAATGTGGGCCAAGCGCCATTTTTGTCTTTGGCCGCCTGTTTTTTTTCCGGAGGGAGGTGGGTGTGAATGCGAGGGGGGTGGGTTCGTGCGATTGTGGGGAGAAGTCTGTGCTTTTTTGTTTTTTTTTGTAGCGGGTTCGAATCGACGAAGTCTTGCAGCTTTTGTGGTCTCGTGAGTTGGCCTAGTTCTTCACATTTGAATACAACTACATAGCTTAAAGAGGAAACAGAATGGCGTGGCAGGACAGTTTTGTTGTTTTTTGGAAAGAGAGGGACGACACATAGATCCACATCATTCCGGGTTCGTCCTATGGCCATGTATCTTTCCATATAATAGCAGAGGATTCAGTCTCACGTTGGGATCAGTTGGCCTCTCACTCCGGGTTTGTCCTATGGCCATGTATCTGTCCATATTCTAGAGGAGGATTCAGTCTCACGTCAGGATTCAGTTGGCCTTGCTCCGCTACTCTCCCACTCCGCATCCACCAAATACAAAATATGGCCATGTATCTTAATGTTCTAGCGTAGGATTCACTCTCATTTTGAACATGTATAGAGTAGTGGAGCGAGGTTGGGCCTCGCTTCGCTGCTCTCCACATGCACAAAAGACAAAAAATATGCCCATTTATCTTACGACGTTCTAGCAGAGGATTCAGTGTCATTGTGTACATTTGCAGAATAGTGGAGCGAGGCGTGTGGTCGTACATTCTTTTTTTCTTCTGCCACTTATCTTTCCATGTCCTAGCAGAGGATTCAGTCTCATTTTGTAGATTTGGAGAGTACCTGTTACATCTTCGACGACACACGGGTCCTACCGGACCCGACTTAGGGCTAGAGGGACACAGCAGGGCCTAAACGCCCGGACTTGGGGTACAGCAGGCCGTAAAGGCCTCAGTTTTGGACCAGACCCGACGGGCAGGCCCAAATGACATTACCGTTTGGGCCTGGCGGCGCTTTTGAGGCTGCCACCCGCCGGTCTGATCTGAACCGTCGATCTTGACGGTTCAGGTCACGGCCAGGCCTCGCAGCATTGAGGCCGGCCTCGTTTCACCGGTACAAAAGACCGGTCCAGCCTCACTTTGAGGCATCGAGCCACTGGCATGCTGCATCAGCGCCAGTGCGTATCGGTTGAGGCAGCAGCGCTATTCTTAGTGCAGGAGCGAGGCAGCATCAGCAGCAGCAGCGGCGAGACAGGAGCGAGGCAGCAGCCCTCAGCAGTGCGGCGGCCATAGCCGCGACCTGCAGTCGGACTGCAGCACAGCCAGGTACCAGGAGGCGAGAAGTCTTCTTCTCCCTCCACGGCTACCGGCTCTCCCCTCCTCATCTCCTTCTCCTCTGCCATCTCTCCCTTCTTCTTCTTCTTCTTCTCCTCCATCTCTTCTTCTTCTTCAGACTTCTTCTTCATCTTCTTCAGACTGGAGACTTGATACTAGTTGGACGGAGATCAGTTCTGGACTTCGGTGGTAAGAGGCTGTGGTACTTACCGGGTTCGAGACTTGGAGATTGTTGGGGATGATACTCGGCTGCATCACAGATTGGACACCGGTTACATTAGGACTCTGTATCTCCGACATTGGTGACTTATTGTCCACGACAATTGATCTTGTTCGATGACATTTTGGACTACCATATCGGTGACCTACTGGTTTCTATCTCGGTGACATCTGGTGCTACCTACATCTCCTACCCCCTTCGTCTCTCCTCCCACCTCTCATCTGTGTATGTTTGTACGGGGCCTGAGCATCGTCTGTGCTTGGCTCAGACCCCAACATCGTTTGTGTGTGGAGTGATATCTGTGTGAGTCAGTCCATTATCAGACTTCCGCTGCATACATTCCCATCCTATATTGGTTGATCTTTGGTTCTGCCCCATACTCGTTGAAGTATTCGCGAGTATGTAACAGTACCCAACCTCGCTCCACTACTCTCCGCACGCACAAAAGACAAAAATGCCCAGGTATGCGTGTCATCCTTGCACGGGGGCCATGTAAAAAAAGAAAAAAAATTGCCCATGTAATGTGTATGGAGCAGGGCCCAGCCTTCAGAAGACACCTCATTGGGCCTCTATCTGCTTCTCCTCTCGACATGCACAAAAGACGAAAAATATGGCCGTTTTCTAGCGGAGGATTCAGTCTCATTTTGCAAATTTGGAGAGTAGTGGGGTGAGGCCCTTGGCCATGCTTTTTTTTTTTTTCCGTGTGCGTCTATGGTCTGAGATCAGATGGACATGGCGTGAACGAGAGGAGGAGCAGCAGGGGGTGGCGGCTGAACGGGGAAGGAGTAGTGCATCTCCACCGCAGGTGTAGCCTGCGACGGGCATGTGCTTGTGTATACTTATTCTAAGTTAACGGTTTAACCTCTACTCGGTAGGTCAGTAGCAGGCATGTTGGATGCTTTCTGGGAGTACTGTCAGACCTCCACCATACTGCAATCAGGTTTGTGGATTGTGATCTTCGGGTCTTGTCTTGAAAGTTGGCAGTCGTGTGCCTTGGGCATACTTTTCCTCGGTCATTCTGACAAGCTTGATGGGCCATTGGCAGACGGTTGAGTCACTGGTGAACTGCAACAAATGAACAGAGGTGCACTCAGCTGGACAGTGTGAGCTTGCGAGCTGTTTGTATGACATGGCTTTTTATTCTACTTTTAGGGTCAATGACGGATGCAAGAGTCAGCAAGGGGTTTCACAGGAGGGATGGTTCAGCTGTGTGCTGAGGTTGCCGGTCATTTGATTTCATTCTTATCCAGGTTGTTTCGGACGTATCCTTCCTCAGTCAGGGCGTGTCGTATGTTGGTCGCTGGTCGCCTTACATCGACAGACTTGCACTGCGAAACCAAGCACATCGCACATTGAAAGTGCATGACATTTAACAGGAAAGCCTTGTATACACGAATAACAACAGGCCGTATCATATTTTGGCTGTCTTTTATCCACCCTGGTGATTACATTGAACACTGGATTTTTCTGAAGAGAGTGGTAAATGATATCTGGTGCAACCCTTTTCACCAGTGCTGCGTCGACTTCTGTGTTCCGCCATCTCTAAACCTTTTTAGGTTGTCTGCCACTGTGCCTTTATGTCAGGCAAGGAAGGATGTGGCCCTCGTCTTCTGCAGCCTGGTGCGTCAGGAAATCAATGGCCGGCAAATTTTCTTGGAGTGCATTGAGAAAAGCTCTGAGTTGCTGGATCTCCTGCTACGCGGGTAAGTATTCCCAGTGGGGCAGGAGGTGTGCTTGCCTGTTGATGACACTTCTCTGCTATCATCATCCCCTCGAGTAGTTTCTATCTGGTACCTTTTAAACCCATTGCCCTGCTTGCTACAGTTGCATTCCAGTGGGTTCTTCAGGAGCACACTACAAGAGAAGCACTTGGAATCATCAGCTCCAATTTCACATGATGGGACCGCTGAGACATTGGTGAAACATGACCTATGAAAGACAACCAACCCCTTGAGTCCATGACTGCCAAAATCTGTGTGTTCCAGAGTATCACGCCGACGGTCAGCACCCCTGGATTGGTCAGCTGCCAACCATCCGACCGTTCCACCTGTCGGCACCTACTGATCGGCGCTCGGTCGGCACCCTGCATTTTTTTTTTTTATAGACCCCAACAACCCCACCACAACCTCCATATCCCCCCTTAACATCCCCTCACTCCCCAACAACACCCCCGTCTCTTATACACATCTAGATGTGTATAAGAG